ACAGATTTGGCTGTATAATGGTAAAAAAACGTTTTTAAAATACCTGTCGAGAATATTACCCCGCTATGAATAAACGAATAACTTAACGGTTACATTTCGATCCCTCAAGTCAAGAGGCCTCCTCCTCCTTCTATTGGACTCCTGACCATCCCCTCCTCAGTCTTTTATATTCATTCAACAAGCGCTTACCAAACACCTAGCCCGAATCAAACGCCGTTCTAGACCAACAGAAAAATAAGCCCCGCCCTCGCGAGCCAGACCTTCTAGTAAGAAAAGCAGACAAACAGCGAACAGACAGACAAATAAATATGTAATACAATTTCAAGTCAGAAACGTAACTCTTATTAATTTTATAGAATTATCACAAATCATTTTCATTGAAAGAGGCAAGACGTGTCCTGCCATTCACTGCCCATCTGTTATCTGAGGATGCTAGCGCAGGTCTGTCATATTCACCAACTCAGTTCTCTCAACAGCCTAGCAGGTGGCCTTGGTCCTGGCATTTAACAGATGAAGAAGCTACAGATCATGAAGTCGAAGGCAAAGAGTTTTGAACATGGGTCCAAAAATGCCCCTCTTAGTTTTCCAGCAAACCACAGTGGCATCGGGCTACATGCCTAGATCTAAAACTTTGAAGGTTTGCTAATTGGTACCTTAAGCTGTTTTCCTAATCTGGGTGTGGGGAGGTGGGGGATCGAGAGAGAACTAGAGGGGAGAAGAGGAGGGAGAGAAAGGGAGGGAGGGAGAGAGAGAGGGAGAGGAAGAACACGAGGAAGTAAGGAATGTCGAAAGGAAGATCTTAGAGGATTCAAGGTGAGGAAGCATCGCTACGCTCGCCCACGGCCGGGTGAGGTTCTGGCTACTCTGCCACACCAGTCTGCTTGTCACAGACACACAGACCCTAAGGGGGGCTGTCCTGGAGGATATCAAGCCCCTGGTCATACCTCTTCACTGCTGCTAGACTCGGAGCTGGAGGACCAGCGGCAGTAAACCCACACGTCCTGCACCCGCTGGGCAGACATCCGCACGGTGCTTCTGCAAACAGCTGCTGGCTGGAAAATGCAAAACAATGAGTCACATCTCCAGCAGCCCACAGAAGGGTTAGGACCCGCCCGAGAAATCAGGCGGTCCTGTGGGGCCTGACAAAATGGTGCAGACAGAAAGGAAAAACTCACAGAGGCATTTCGCTTTTTCCAAAATGAAAATGTCTCAAGACCTTAAGCAGAAACAAATGAAATATTTAAATATCCCTTAGGCGTTTGCTACAAGTCCCCGGGGAAAGAAAGCACTCTCTTCATGAGCATTGAGCGGGCTGTACTGACTCCTTTCCCGCTCAAAAAAAAAGAAAGAAAGAAAGAAAGAAAGAAAGAAAGAAAGAAAGAAAGAAAGAAAGAAAGAAAGAAAGAAAGACATGGAAAGAACTCAAAGGACTCTGCTTTCCTCTTCTTCAGCCTCAGATTTCATGAGAAACAGACACTTATTGACACTTGTGTCCTTTGTAAACCAGTCACAGAGGAAAGTTTCATGAAACAAATAACAAAACAAAGGATTTCTTTTCAGGATTTACATCATTGGGAAGCAACCCTGACGTAATCAAGCCGATAGTGTAAGATAGTGTGACAAAACCCCAGAACTCACACATCGGAACACAAACACCTCGGGAAGCAAATGCTGGGCTGACCGAGCATCGGACCGTGTTCTGGTCACTGGGGATAGAAAACTGAATATACCACATTCCCGACCCCAGTGAGCCGGAGCTAGTGGGGGAGACAGATATTACACAGCGCTCGACCACAAAATAATGCGAATCTCACAGCTGATGTTTTAAATTATTGGAAGTAGAATTTGAAACGTCTCTGGGACTTTTCTTTGGTGTCAGCCTCTTTGTATTCACTTTGCCTGGAGCCATCATCATCCCCATTTTAAAGAGCAAGTAACTGAAGCAACAGGGATTAAATAATTTGCCGGGATCACTCAGGACCCCAGAGCTCGAGTCTGCAACCACTGGGCCACACTGTCCCCACCCAGGCAACACAGGGCGGACACGGTCGGTGCCTCCAGTGTGGCCACACCCCAGCCAGTGGCCCAGCTCTCGGTGTGACTTGGAAACAGGTCATGGAAGTAGACGAGGTGCTTCCTCGCGTTGGTTTCTGGCATGGTGGCTTTTCCCAGCACGCTTACCATGTCATAGCCCCTCTGGAAGTCACAGGTAGCAGGGTCCTCTCCAGAACTGCTCCTGCACGTCGTCTCTCGAATGCTGAATTCTAGGTCCATGCTCAAGCTGTCCTCATCCAGGACGTTGACCTTCAGGAAAACAAAGCATCAGTTTGTCATCGATGTGTTTCTGAAGTTCACGATGCTGCGTGATGAGAAAACGTTATTGAATCATCCACCAATAAAGCAACCAGTCGCCTGGTTCCACGCCCTCCCTCATGCCGAAGCCCAGAGGAAAAGGTGCTTTTTACCAAAGGCACACAAAGCTTCAGGGAGAAGATGGAACCGGAATGTTCATGTCCTGCCTCCAAGGGAAGCGTCGCGTCTAATGACTTACATTTACAATTGATCCTCATTTTTCGCAGGTTCCATGCTGCCTACTAGCTAAAATTTATTTGTAACCCCGAATTTCAATTCTCGAGGTCTCTTTGCGGTCATTCATGGACACACACAGAATGGCAAAAAACTTGTCACTCGATGCACAGGTTCCCAACTGAGTTCAAATAAGGTGACACTCTGCCTTCCGGTTTCGGCTTTCACGCTGTATGTAGTCAAGGGTCATTTTCAGGGTCCCGTGTGTGCCATGCTTTTTTGCTTTTTGTGCTGTGATTTTCTGTTTAAAATGTCCCCCGAGCGTAGTGACTGCCGAAGTGCTATCTAGTGTTTCTACGTGCAAAAGGCTGTGACGTGTCTTATGGAGAAAATCCATGTGTCACATAAGCTTTGTCAGGCATGAATTGCAGTGCTGCTGGCTGTGAGTTCAATGCTAATAAATAAGTGTCTTTAAACAGAAACACGCATAAAACATGGTTATATTTTGACCACTTGATGAAAATATCGTGACCAGAGACTTGCAGGAACCTCACTGTTATTCCCGTAGAAGCAAGCATTCAGGATTTAGGAAGCCAGTCCTCACAGCGACCTCACAGAATATAACGTCCACGAATGAGAATCAACTCCATGTATTTTTAAGTATCTTTTTCCTAAAAGAATGCTTCAGAATCTCTTAATTCCTTTCATAAGTCATTAAGTGGTAAGTATATCTCTGCAGTCCAGTGTTACCCAGCCCCTCTTTCTGCTTCATCGGTTCTGATTTATGAATGACTTTACTCGATGTTCAACTCCCTTTCTCCAAGGATGGGATGCTTCCCAATGAACCTGTGGCGTTCTGATGACACAGAAGCCTCGTGACTTACTGAGCGCCCACTGTGTGCCCAGCACGAGAGGCAGAGCGGGGAAGGCTCCAGGCAGCTTAGATCCTAGTGGGGGTGCCCCACAATGCACACAGTAAAGAAACCAAATGAGATCATTCCAGAAGATTATGGTGCTATGAAGAACAATATGCTAATGGGGGTGGCCGGGAGGAAGCGGCTACTCTAGAGAATGTGCCAGAGGAATGCTCCTGAGGAAGGCGTGTTTCAGCTGAGACTTAAAGGCTGGGTAAGAGCTCACACGTGAGGAGAAGCAGAGGCAGCGTCTCGTGGCAGAAGGGAAGTGGCTGGTGTGGCCGGAGCAGAATGGGCAAGATGAGAAGCACGCGTGGGGTGGCAGAGGTGGGTGTGCAGAATCACGCACGATGTGGCAGAGGCAGGCGCGGCAGAGGCAGGTGTGCCAGGCAACTTACGATATTGCAGCCCGTAAGATGTATAGAGTTCATTCTCACTGCAACGAGAAGTCCTCGGAGGGTTTTAAGAGATCAGAGCTGAGTCACCACGGCTGCTTCAAGAACCCATTGGGGCAGGGACAAGATGGCGACAGGGGGACCAGGTGGGAGCCCGCCGTGGTCCAGTACCGATAACACCCCCCAGGCTCCAAAACCTCTTTCCTCGAGTTCCTCAGCTCACCTCTTGGCAAATCTGAGGCGGTGACACATTCACCCTACTGCCCAGCGAGGAGAGAGTCGGTGACAACATTCCGTGAGAAGCGCAGACCACTTATGGGTGGGAATAATGGGCATGTGTTTAGGAAATAAGTGGCAAACTCCATGCTCAAGAAGGGGGTTGTCATGTCTCTTTCTAAGACAAAATGAGGAGTGAGGACACAGGACAAGTGGAGTTTTCTGAAAACAAGTAGGACAAAGACAACCTCGCCATCAGTTACTCCCACGTGCGTGTATAGTTTTAGAAGACTGAATATTAAATCTGAACCTCATAAAACATAAAGAGTTCTCCCATGAGCAGGAGAGCGTTTTCAGCTCTTCAGCTTTGATCACGCTTCAGGAATTTCCCTTAGAGCGATTCGATGAAAGCGAACAGTGACCCCAAAGCTGAGTCTAAAAAACTGAAACTGGGTTTTTGAGTACAGATCATTTTATTGAACTATAAGATGATTCTGCAAACTATTTTTGCATCTTTAAGCACTTTTAAGCACTTTTTCTAAAATAGATTTCAAAAGCCTAATAGCTTCGCTTTTTCATTTGGACTCACATTCGGCCAGTGAATTTCTGCTCTGTGTTGTTTGAAAAAAGATAGAACGAACCAACTGCTCAGCAAAAAGGAATCAGCTGGAGAAAATCCCAAACCCAGCATGGCTGCTGAAACGAATCGTAGTACTTTACAATTGGTGTTCAGTACAGTCCTGTTTTCCTTAAAAGATAGATTTTATACCTACAGATGAAGAGAAAAAGAGACCGAAAGGTATCCTCTGACATATTCATGGTGAGTATCTCAGAGGAATGGATAATGGATGTTACTTTTAGCGTTTCTTTTTTGTTGTACTTTCTGACTTTTCATAGTGAGCAGGTTTCGGTTCTTTATTTCAAAGAGAAATAAAAACATATAAGCAATGAAAGACCCATAACAGTTCTTTTTTGATGGTCGTAGTGCTTAATTTTATGTGTCATGACTGGGCTACAGTGCCCAGATATTTGATCAAACACGATTGTGGATATTTCTGTGAAAGTGTTTTTGGATGAGATTAACGTTTAAATTAGTGGATCTAGAGTAAAGCAGATTACCCTCCATAATTTGGGTGGGCCTCGTCCAATCAGTTGAAAGCCTGAATAGAACAAAAACTGACCTCCCTCAAGCAAAAAGGAATTCTACCAGTAGATGACCTTTGAGATTTGAACTAAAACACTTCCCTGGGTCTCCAGCCTACTGGCCTGCCAAGTCAGTCAATCAAACAAACACTCTCAGATAGATAAGTAGATAGATGATAGATAATAGATAGATAAATACAGAGATAGATAGATAGATAGATAGATAGATAGATAGATAGATAGATAATAGAATATACACTCTATTGGTTCTATCTGGTGAAGCCTAACTAACACGTGATTTAGGTTTTTCAAGTTAATCTCTTATTATTGGATAAAAAGTAAAGATCAGATCAACTATAGCAAATAAAGAATAATTTAGGAAGCCAAAAAGCAAGAAACGCAAAGAATGTGAAAGGAAAAATGGACAGAAGTGGGCATAGACACAAAGAGCCCCAAAGCTTCCATGACTTTGCCCCCAAATGTCCCCGAGCCCACCCACCCCCCGCTCCCTGCTCCCACGTGAGGCTCAGCTGCCTTTCATCGCTGCTGGTTTCCTGAGGTCGCTGTCTCGGATTCTTCCCTCGCAGCCCACCCCACACGGCAACTCCAGAGATCTTCCACACATGCAAAGACCTTCGAGGCCTTCCTCTGTTTGAAGCCGTCCCAGCCCCCGCCAGGGGCTGCCCACTCTCCCAGCTCAGGCCCATTTCTCTGCCCTCAGCCCTGCTCACTTGGTTCTAGCCAGACTCTGTCTCGTGGTCCATCAGGGGCCTCCCAGTGGTCTTCTCATCACTGGAAGTTCTTGTCACTGGGTGAGTCTTAGCTTCCCCAGGACACTTCCGCCCCATCTGACTGCTGTCCCAGCCCCAGCCCATTCGTCCACCGACGTGATCTGTTTCCTGCGCAGTGTCTCCCGTCTCTGAAGTCGCTTCATTCGTTTGCGTAACCGGGCACCTCTCTCCCTTCTCCCTTCCCCCTCGCCCTTCTCTCCCTCTCTCTGCCCGGTGGAACCTGAGCTCTACGAAAGCACAGCCTGGTCCGTCCACTTCTCTTCCTGTCTTCGGCGCGAGGCCTTTGTCCACCTTTCCTTTGTCCACCGGTGTCCCCTGAAGGAACAGTCAGAGTGACGGCTACAGCGGAGCGAGGAAACCGTCATTGCCGAAGTCACGCTGCCTTATTTTTCCTCATCCTTTTTCACACGTGGTGCCCGAGAGGTAAGTAACTTAAAACCCATAGCAGGAGAATTTGATCCTGGTCCACAGGTAAGACCCAGTGGGCCACAGAGTAGAATGACCTGGAGGACAAACAGGTAGGAATACGAGCCCTGCCCCGGGAGACAGGTATGTAACCAGGCACCGCCGCTCCCGACGTAGGGAACATTTCAAGCTCCCGGGTGAGTCTGCTGTGCAGTGGGGTTGGAGCCCGCGGGCTGACTCAGCAAGCTCAGGAATAAAGTAGCAGGGCCGACCCTTCGCCCTAAGGCCACTGAACTCTGCCCCCGAACTCCTGCACGTCTATAAACATGACTAAACCACGCGACTCCTTTGGACGTATTCCTAGAAGTGAAACTATGCCATCGAAAGTTATGTCTTTATTTAACGTGCTTATAAATATGCTTAACGCGCATTTCCGTATCGCTTCCCAGAGATAAATTTCCCTAATTACGCTCTCTCGTGCAAGTGTGAGTTCTTTTTCACGTTATTTTTCCATTTCGCCATGTTAGTTTAATTCTGATTTGTTTGGCTATCGGGGGATCGAACATTTTTCATGCCGATTTGCATTTCTTCTTCCAAGAGCCAGTGATCTCTGCCTTCATCTCTCTCCTGAGGACTCTGCTGCCTCTGAGTGTGTCTCTCGCAGCTACTCGTGTGGAGGGAACTGTGTATTTGGGGCCGTTTTTAGGGCGTTTGTAAAATACGTGACTACTATGTACCGTAGAACAAGTGCGACCCGCTCCTAAGAGAAAAGACATGTCGCGGGGAGAGATCAAAGGATTTTTCCTTCCGAAGGGCGAGGAAGCGAAGTGTGCATAGTAGGAGCCTGGTGAATGTCGCCTGAGATCGGAAAAGGCCGGAGAGGAGCGAGACGAGGCAGGCTTCCCGCTAGACCAGCAGCGCACGCCAGGCGGAGAGCTCTCTTGTATGGACGCGCTCATTAAGGCTCACGCGCACGCCTACCTAAGTGTGTTTATTTGCAGGTGCACGCGTATCCGGGCTCCGGTCTGCGGTGCCAAGGCGGCACACGAGCTGGAACGTGGCCTGGGTGGTGATGCCTCGCACCAACTCACTTCCCGGGCCAGACTGCCAAGGTGTCGGGAATGGGCTCTCCCAGGACCTATCCTCTTGTTCTTATTCATTTAATTAACTACTCAATTTCTTCTTTGGTGAGCACCGGCTAAATTACAATTGTAAATTTGAACTATTCATCTGCCAGCTCCGCAAGAGGACGCTGATTTATCCACACCGCAAGTGGATTTCGTGAAATGCAAAAGACAGAAACCAATACGGCAGGACTCAAGGAATGGCGTTCTCTATTCTGGCCCCGTATCTGCGAGAAAAGAAGTCACACCTCGGCTTGGCAGCCGACCGCTGGCATGTCACATTGCTGGCACACCACAATGCCCAGGCCCCACTCTGAACCACAATGGCCTGGTTATGGGCTGGGCACCTAACGAAAGCCCACCATCCTCAGGACCTATGACCCAATCATAAAATTCAATTAATTTCCGAGGACTCTGGAAATTGGACGCTGAGCCATTTTCTGCAGCAAAGGGTCGTGATGAACGTGCTGTATTTGGAGACACGAGCCAGGTGTTCTTCGCGGTGAGAGAGGGAGCGAGGTAAGTGCTAGCTGAGGTGGCACCCAGCCGGGACGGGCGACGCGAGCTGGCAGACAGGGAAAGCACTGACCCTCGGGCCTCGGACAGGGGCTTCTGGCCAGGCCCCTGCTCCCGTCCCACGTGGCCGGCCACACAGATTTTCCATCTGAAGGACCTGTCACTTAATAGAACATCCCTACCTCCTGTCTTGACCTGAACTAGCCTGAGGGCATTTTGAGGGCGTTTCTGCCCCTCACTGCTGGAGCCATTAGGCGGTAAAAACGCCTGGGGATGCGGACCGGGAGGCGACTAGCTGTCTACACTTCCCATTTCCTTTGAAGGATAGTTCTGCGTCTCTTTCTTCGCCTGTCACAGATGGAGTCACTGGAAGCTCAAGAAAATCCATCTTTCCGTTTCCCAAAGTCAACAGGAAACAGACTATTGCTAAATTGACAAAGGAGGGTGGATTTCTTTAGCTCAAAAGCCAGAATTTATTTCCTAGAAATATTAGAAGCAGAACTGCCGAACTGAAAAAAGCCTCATTTCTAATAAACGAGTAGCTCTTAATAAAGCATCTCAAGAGGAACCACGGGGACTTTGGCTGTAAACGCAGGATGCGCGAGGAGGAACATCTGGCAACGGGAAATGGGGCCAGAGGGAAGAATATGGCAGAAGAATCAGGCCTCCAAAGGAGCTTGGAGGGCCTTACGACAAGAATTGAAATTAAATCCTTTCTCTGCCCCCCAAAAAAAAAAAAAAAAAAAACCTATAAAGGAGACGACTAGCTGTCATCGGTTTACACTGGAAAAATAAATTAAAAAGTGCACCCAACAAACAAACCGAAGGGAAAGCAAGCCGGAAGGCAGGGCGGATTCATGGCGAAGGGAGCATGTCTACTTACTCTTCTGAGGGAGCTTCTGAACGCCCGGAACAGGTACGGGCTCAGGGCCTGCGAGTTCACCTTGGCCACAGAGGCGTTGAGCGCTTCCCGCAGGGAGGACAGGTCGTAGTCATACACCGGGAAAGCTGGACACACAAGCACACGGGGCACAGTGAGCCGGGGTTCATGAGCAGGGATGGCGACGCGGGTTGAGGGCGGGGGCCTTGTCGTTGAGTCCCTTACCTGTGCAGGGCCAGCGGTGTGTTCCAAGGACAAACACTAGCACCATCCTCAGCACTACCTGCTCCATTCTGGGAAGAGTGAGTGTAGTTCAGAGCCAGGGAGACTGCACCTGTGCGCTCGGGGGTGACAGGTCCTCCTGAGACAGGTCTTCAGCCAATGTGACCTGCTTTGCTCTCTCGGGCGCAGTCTGCAGCTTTACCAGAAACGATTGATCCCACGGCAAATGTTTACTGGGGCCCTTTCCTGTGGACGCGTGCCAGTTTGAGGCCACGTTTGAAGTTTTGACCTCGACATGGGACTTTAGCCCACGGCAAAGATATCGAGAGACTCGGGGACTCCTGAGCACGGTTTGTGTTTCCTCGGTCTTAAGTTTATCCTCACGTACAGCTGAATTCTCTCCATTTTAATTTTCTTTTCAACAAAATGATTGATTTTTGCTGTCTGTTAGTTCCCGCTCGTGTTCCTGAAGATCTTGCAATCGACTGTTTATGAAAAGCGTGTGGCTATGTCAAGATCTTTCTGGAAATTATAACTGCAAAGGAGATAATTTAATCTAGAGGAGGCTTCCATACACCTAGCAGGGGCGTATACAGTAAAACACTGTGACACGCCGTCCTGTCTCCCAACCTTCTCTGCTAAGGGTAGTTTCGCATTTCGCCTGGATAATAGGGCATTTGCATATGATGATTCTCACAGACCATAAAATCCCGAGGTAGTTCGCGAATCATCAAAACACAGAGATAGTTTACGGTAAATACAGTTTGTGTTACATGCAGGTCATTCTGTTCTCGTTCTTCGAATTCATGCGTCGGAAGCTGTACTGTGCTGTGGCTCAGAAAGACCTGGCCATTCTTGGCGCCATCGTTTCTGGGAGTGCGCCCTTGGTCACGGCACTCGGCCTCTCTGGACCTCAACCCCCCCACCTGTAAAGGGGGCGTAAATGGTACGATGTAAATGGTACGATGTCAGGGTTCCCCAGAGAGACAGAACCAACAGGATGTTTGCATACGTATCGTGTTTAAATAGGTTATATATTATAACATATATTAGGTTTATATGTTTATGATTCATACATTTATATGTTTATAGATGTGATAGCTATATATTATAGGTATTTATATATAAATTTATACTCTGATAGATATATATATACGGATAGATAGAGATTTATTTTAAGGAATTGGCCAACGCAGTGCCAGAGCTCTGGCAAGTCCAAAATCTTCAGAGAATGGCCTTGCAGGCTGGAGATCCAGGGAAGAGATGCAGTCTGCTGGCAGAATCCCCTCCCGCTCGGGCCTACTAAGACCTACTAAGTTGCCTACGAAGGTCTTTGACTGATTGGATGAAGCCCATCCATGTTGTAGGGAGTAACATGCTTTATTCAAAGTCTATTGATTTAAATGTTAGTCTCATCTTTAAAATCTCTTCCGAGAAACATCCGGAATAATATTTGACCAAATATCAGGACACCACGGCCAGGCTGCCACGTAGAATTAATCATCACATAAAGATTAAATCACAAAGCCTTGAAAGAGCGCTTGGAAAATGAATTGCTCAATAAATGGTAACTGCTAACAAGAATTCGATTCGATAAGTCATTTTTAGCGTCTGCTGTGAATAAGGCCACAGGTCCAGGGAGCTCTGAATGAACTAATCATCCAGCTCACCTGCTTAAACGCGGCAAACGTAAGTGCCAACAAGGGACGTGTAATTGCTTTGAGATTTCGTGGAGATGGCGAGGACGTTGGCAGTTCACGCGCTCCTCCTGACCTCGGTCCCCAGGTGGTGGTGTC